TATATTAACTATATTATATTATATTATTTAGTATACTTAGTTATTATTATTTGAGTGACTGCAACTATATGTAACCTTTTTGATGGGTGACCGCAACTAGTATGTAACCTTTTTGAKGGGTGACCGCAACTAGTACGTAATTTTTGATTATGACCGCAACTAGTACACAACGAAAAAACTGTATGCGTGTAGTATGCTACCTACCTTAGTTGTTTTTATTTTATTTCATTTTACTACAGGAAAGTACATTTGAGTCATTAAGATAAATAACATATTATAGCAGTTGCACAAAATTATATCTTAATAGCCATTATGAATAATGATATCTGATCCACCAAGACCCATGATAACTTACTGTTAGATATATTATTTTAACAATAATATAAAATGAAATAGAACTAGGATCAATTATTTATTCAGATCAATGGCGAACATATAGTACCTTAAAAGATATAGGTTGTCATTACGAAACCGCCAATCCTTCCGAGTTTTTTGTTGCTCCTACAACGGGTAATCGGTCAAAAAGTCCATATAATATACAGTAGGATTAAAAATGCTCATAACTCACTTAAAAATTGAATTATCGTAAAAAATCATCGTACAAACACAGATAATGTTCTTACCATCAAGTTTCATAATAGGCTGATTCACTGTAAATTGTAATTTTTAAACTAAAGGAGCTACAAGTGTTCTGCTGAGCGTAAATTTGGTATATTACGCACTGGTAAGACGGAGACAACAAATACCACAGTTACGTACTCTTAAGCAGTGACCTATCTTATTTAAAAATGCTGCTATTGTAAACTCGTTATTAACAATCTTTGTACATAAATATTGTAATTTTACATTTTTTCCCAAATTTTTTTTCTATTTTTTGTATTCACCCAAATGTATTGTAAACTCGTTATTAACAATCTTTGTACATAAATATTGTAATTTTACATTTTTTCCCAAATTTTTTTTCTATTTTTTGTATTCACCCAAATGTATTGTAAACTCGTTATTAACAATCTTTGTACATAAATATTGTAATTTTAAATTTTTTTCTAATCCATAGTTATTTTTTCTTACGGGTTCCATATTATGTAATGATATTTTAGCTTTATCTACCCCCACTTCCTCACGAAATGTTTTAATCAGCTTCCCAGGACCGGCTTTATTTACGATCCATGAGTACGGCGGCACAAGGGTGCTAAAATCAGGGGAGCGTGTGGTTGCCTGCTTATATATATATATAAAAAGAGGGTAAAGGGCGCCAAAATAATACTTGCGCTGAAAAAGCTAGAGCCGGCCCTGTAGCTTCCAAATTATCGGATGACTATGGTGTCCGATTCAATGCGCAAAACTATTGTTCCAGCTTACACAAATATTATTTGTACGGTGTCTAGAGTGTAATGTTGTAGCCTGGTGTACGTTCCATGTTTCAAGGGGGTACAATGGCTTATTCCGTCTGAATTTTGAAACCCCGACTTTCCTATATGTTCCAGTAACATATGTCGCATCAAAATAGTCAATTCTATCTGTATTGTCGGGTGCACAAATTTAACTCAAGTACTTCAAGCCTTCAATCACTTTGTGATTTGTTTATGATGAACCGTATATGCATATCCGTTATAAATAATTTTTTTTTCTTTTATTACAAAAACTTTTATTTCAACCTCCATCTCGACTAAATAACGTCTATAAGGATACACTGACTAAGTGACAAATTAAATTTATAATTCACGTCCGCTAAGTCCCCATGAAATCGATTATATCGATGAGATAAATGTAGGTAAATGATATTATAGGTACCTACATATATATATTATAAATAGTATGATATTGTAAACGTGGTAATAATATTGATTAACGCTATTGTAGCATGTAGGTCGTATGATATTATAGTAGATAAACTGTAGACGTACGGCTGCGATAAACTTTAGATCCATATCTTTAGTGGATTTCCGTAATATTTTTGTTAGTTATTAGAAACAATAAGAAATAAGAAAATATAAAAAAAAAGTACAATAATATAATAGGTAAAAGTATAACAATTACATTTTTAAATAAATAATAATTATATATCAACTGACTATATACACAATATTACATATGTATACCTTGTAAGAAACTTTTATTTAAAAAAATAGTGAATTTACAATCTATACAATGGTATAATAAGTAAGTGTGTGATGACAAAATAACAAAATAACATTAATTACATAAAAGGAGCAGCACATGTGTATAGGTACCTATATAATAATATTATATAATATTATAAGGTACATTATAATTATAAATGAAAATTAAATAAACAATTTTTATTTTCGGACTTTTTGTTCGACAATAAAAATGCGTTCGGACTTTTTGTCCRGCAATCAAAAAATGAATCCGGACTTTTTGTCCAACTATTTTTGTTGGAATGATGTGAAAATAGTATATAATGAATAATGATATATAATAACGTATTGCAATATTATAAATTACTTGACAACGGTAAATTAATAAATTATTTAGTAATATATTTTTGTTAATTTGTTATTATTTTACGGTAGCATACTACACCAACGAAGTAGCTATAGAGAGCATATTAGACGAGTACCCTTATAACTTATAATTCATATTTATCATTTTTTTTTTTTATGTCATAGTATAAATTATTTACAAAATGGACTGATTATAACCACGATTCGAGTGATAAAACATTAAAGTTGAATGAAAAGTTATGCTCAGAAGTTCACGTTTTACTCCGTTAGCTTAGAAATTAGAGTGAATGGACCTACACTGAAAAAAAAACCATTAGTATTATTAACAAGATTCTATTGTTAGCTGTTAACAATCCTAAAAATTGTCACCTCAATAACATTATGTCACCGTAACAAAAATAATTGTTCAATTAAGAACGATATTATCAAAATTATTATTTTAATATTTATTAAATTAACAATRTATTATTAAAACTACAATTTAAATCTGATAAGAATCAAATGTTTGGTTTATGGATAATTACTGATTTTGATTCTATTAATAATCTATGTATGGTCTGGTTTTTTTATAAGCAACAACAATCTTTTCATCGTGATAATTAATTGTTAACATGACAATATTTTGCAGCTCGCGGAGACGTGGACACAATTATAATTTATTATTTGGTCGTTGGCCGTTGCGACTTGCGTATAGTTGTCTTAACGTGTTTCAGTTATTCCTATTACTTATTGTTTTTATTATTTTTCAAGTTGATAGTGTTGTGCTAGTGAATTTATGTAAACTTAAAACTAAAAATTCGAATCATAAAGACATAAGGTAAGTACGTAAGTATTTAAATTGTATGAAATAAAATGATTTGTTATATGTGTCAATCGGATATTCATAATTGGAAAGCATTAGTTACTCATTTWAAAATTTTTCATTTTCTTAAATYTGATAGTACTTACAAATGTGGCGAAGAAAACTGTACACAAACCTTTCAATGTTTAGGGTCTTTTAAAAGACATATGATTATTAAACATACTTCTAATGAAACTGAACCTAACAACCCTTCACACTTTGAATATTATTAAACGAACATTATCTATGCTCTCTCGTTCTATTTTTTACGATATTTTAATTTTTAAGTGGGTTAAGARTATTATATCAAGGGTAAAATATTGGAGAGATCACATGCAGGTGCAACGCCCTSTTAACTATTAAATCGTTAAATTATTATATTATATCAAGATATCATCGAAGTGGTTGTACTACAGAATAGCCAATTTCGAAAAATTCTCTGTCCGGTCCAATTTTGTGGAATGAAGTAGTCATAAATTTGCACAACATTATGACGTATTCAATCCAATATACGTGAAGCAATATTTTCAAAATATTTAGATATGTTTATTAGGTTATAATATTAGAATAAAATAACTTAAAAATAAAATTCAAAATCTTATAGTATTAATTTAACCTAATATAGTAATAATAGTGAGTATAATATAAATTAGTTTAATTTTGATCAAATTCATGTTTATAAGAATATGGTTATGATAAATTTATGCTCATACCTCATCATGGTAAATTATCATTGACGGTTAAAATTAGCTTACATCAAATTTAGAAAAAAACAAATATTAACTACTCCCTTGTGGCCCTGTCATTATTTTCATATTTTATAATACATAATTACAATCATAAAAATGTCAGAGAMTAAATTAAATTTTTGAGAGAGTACCTACTACAGATTTGGAAAAAAAAACGAACGGATATTAAAGATTCGAATTTTACCTCAGCTTTTACCTGAAGGAAATAAGACACACATTTTAATCAAATAGTCCAACTAATAATATTTTTTGAAGTGTTCAAGTCTTGTAGTGTTTGATTTCGATAACAATCCTGTTGTGTTCGTCAAAACATTTCACCTCAGTGGCTCATTATTTTTTCTTTTTAAATGAACCATCGCAACCATAGTCAAATGAGATTTCTATTAAAACGACATTTACCGGTTGGTTCTCGTTTGTGAAAAGTTTACCTGTAAATTCTGGACGATCTCTTGGCGGTGAACGAGTGTTGCCGAGACGGCTGCCAAGCGCCGGTGGTCACCATCATCATGTCCCTTTCTGTTACAGCCGAACAACTCCTCCTGGCTGGCTGCACCGCACGCCACCTGACGCCAGGCTGCTGATGTTGATGCTGCTGTAGCAACACGGCCGTCGTCGACCGCCTCCGTCGCTGTTGTTGTTGTTGTTGTTGTTGATGGTGGTCGTTGCTGTCCATAGAACGTTTGCGTCGCGTTCACTGGCGCGTCTTGCAGCGAATCATCGTGACGTGATAGCGGGCGCAGCAGTCGTAGCAGCAACAACTACGACGAGGCCATCGTCACCGCCTCCGCCGAACGGGCGGGATTCGGACCGTCGGTAAAAGCCGCCACTTCCGCCGCTGTCAYCGTCGAAACGGTTACGCTGAAACGTCGTCGGTATAAGATACCATGGTATAATAAATGCGGTAAACGAAGCACGCGCGGTCCTCCCTTAGTGATTTTTTCTATTTCGAACACGATGGCAGCACGGAGAAAGGCGTTTACCACGTGATTACCATTACGTTGAAATAGGTAAATTACTTGGTACGATATTATTATTTTGTTTTGATATTATTATTATTTGACTGTACGTGATAATTATGAATAGTCCGTGATATTGTCCACTAATTGCGTTCAGCGTTGTTCCGACTTCCTGTGCGACACGATAGTTCAAACCCCGTTATCGTTTGCGTCCGTACTCCGTACTCCGTACACGCGCACTGTACAATACCGTTCACCGTTCACTATTCTGTTTTTGATTAAAAATGTGCGCAGTTGTGACGGACGACGGGTGTATGGCGCTAAATGGACAGAGGTGGTGGAGAACGTGATTAAGCAGCAGGTGGTAGTGGTGGTGGYGATGCATGTGTGAGGAAAACCGCGTCTAATGACGATAATAATATTACAATCGCGATAAAGTATTATGTAAACAACTCGATTGAGAAAAACATCACGAATCTATTGTTTGCCTTTCTACCGAAATCAGCCTGAAACGAATAAAAATCGGAGMATTTGGGTAAGCCCGTCTTGCAACAGAAAGTTAAAAACAGATGAGACGATGTTGTAAGTTAGCACCTATACAGTTAAGAGGATGCTATACATAGTACATCCTCATGTATTGTCTCCACCTTACAAATGTAAAACATGGCAAAAACTGTTTTGCACGGGAAAAAACTACTCAATCTGTAATCGAAGCTAAGCAACCAAATTTTCACACCATAAAAAGGAGAATATTTACAGTGCAACAWTGTTTTTATTTTTTCGATATCAAAACTAAAAAAAAGGTATTCAAGTTTGAAAAACTCAAAAATAATGAAACCTTAAACAAGAAGAAAATTCGTTCTGAAAATTCTATATGAGATAGGTATYACACTAAATAGTAAATAGTATTTATAATAGTCGCTGGATAGGCACGTGCACGTATATGTTAGATGATTTTGGAAATCGTTTTTCAGTGACTTGTTAAAATAAATCTAATGGTAAATCATTGGTTTGGAATTTAAAAGCAATAATAGGACAGCGGTGATTTAACATACTGACAACGAGGGCATTGGTCTTCCACCTCACCAAGAGCCTTCTTTTACATCATCATTAATGTTGTTATAAGTATGATATAACTTGCATTAGTCAAATTAAGAAATTTATTGAACACGAATAAATGTAAAAAAAAAAATATTAAAAAAATCTAGCTCCCCTGGTATCTGTGGAAGAGGTGTAAGGCACGATCGTGCTGTACTAATCGACGTAATAGTATAATATTCAACCGGCATAATAATTTACATATTTTATTTATTTTACATTTTATTGTTTACAGATTTACAAGGGGGTCACGTGTCATGACGTGTTCTGTCGAACACACGACGGCGTCGCACGTGAGCGTGATTTATTATTATTATTGATGATATTCGCCGCGAGTCCGCGAAGTCTAAACAAAATGCGCATTTGGTAATACACTAAAACGTGAGGGATTAAAATGAAATCACACCAGGTACGATAACGTGTTTGAGTGTTACTCACCTCGAGTAGTGCAGCCATTAATGAACGTATATTACACACTTATAATATTAACATCGGATAATAATATATGGAAGAGACGTCGATTTCAAATCGTTTTGTCCCCGAGAATAGTATTGCACAATATGCCGTTATTTCCACTAGTTACCACGCGCCGCCTCCGACGACGGAGGTGATCATAATATTATTATAATTACGACAACAACAACAACAATAATAAACAACAACAACACCGTCACCACTGAGCTTCAGAAAATGATACAATAAACCTAATATTATTATAAAATTGATAGTCGTCTCACTTGTTGGTCTTCAAGCGATATTAWAATAATATTATATTTTATAGAACGACAACGATAATTAATATATAATAATATTCTGTTCACGATTATACTCGTCCGTCGCGTTGTACCATACCGCAMGACGACGACGACAACAACAACTGAACAACGGCTGGTTACTTACTGCTATTACGTGCGGTAACAACTGGTATAAGCACAACGTTGTAAAAGGTGCGGCGCACCGATGCAACTACTGGTGGTGGTGACTGGCGGATGGCTGTTGTGCAACGTGCGCGGGCGGGTGGCGGTTTCGGTAATCCTTTTAGCTCGGGCAGCCGCGTGCCCGCGTGTATGCGCACGCAGCATCAGTGTATCACTGGGTGGTGAGGAGTGTCGATTGTGCAACGTTATTATTATTATTATTATCATTATTCTCTTCTCCCGGCGGCGGCGCGATTGTCGTAGTTGGGTTCTTAAAATACTCGCCACCGCGTAGGCGAGTAGGTATTTGCGGCAAACACCTATAAACTAACATTAAAAAATAGTCTATAGGTCTATAATTTGCGCACGTTGTCCAGGTTCGTTCGGTTAGGTCCCTCTCTTGTATCCGACGGGCCACAACGGCATGTCGGGTGACAGCGAAAACAAACCCGAGACCAGATGATTACGTTCACGGGGAAAATTGACTGTGTAACGATCTAAATAATATTATTATCACGTGATGTGATATTTGAACAGAAAAAAGTACGCGTTTGATACATTAACAAAGGAATGATTTTGATAAAACTGATATTTAATGTTGTATTAAAAACGAAATACGCATCCGTGTAGACATCTTAAATAAATTATCATAAGTGAGACCAGTGCTCAAATATGCTGTGAGTCCACATATTGCATTCGCAATACGCCAAACAATGTTCTCCGATAATCAATTATTACAATTACTAATTACCATTTTTAAATACACAATAAAAAAACACATCAATATTTTACCATAATAATACAGTACTTATCATACTCATTTAATAGCAAATTAGTCTAGGACGTCACATCAATCAACTCAGCTACTATTTAGACAACTCGGAGGATGTCAGAGAGTCAAACGACTCAAACTTTTGAAATCATACGACTTATTTTGATAAAATATCCAATAAGATGGCAATTCCCAACCCATGGGCAGGGGCCCACTTGTTGGTTGCGAGCAATGTACTAACTAAGCTGCAAACACTGGTCAGGCGTGTATGCTAAGAGTCTGACAATTTTTATTGAAATTAACATTGAGATTTTTATATGACTTTAATGGTTTTATACACGTTTATATTTCTTCTACCGTCTTATTTGTGTGTGTGTGTGTTATTATTTTATACCTGTATGTCAGGTAAGCGGGCCTCAATGTTTTTTTCGCTGTATACCAATTGAGTCCCTATACCTGAAGGGGAAAAAAATTATATACTAATTGAGTCCCGGGTACAAACGAGATATATACTGATTGAGCCCGGGGTTAGGAAACTAATAGTATACGAATTGAGTCCGAGGATTATTTTGAGTAAAATATAAAATCAACCATCCGAGTCCATTTTTATGACTTTCATCAGATAATATAGTAACATATTATTATACTATAGGCCGGGAATTTTAGATTTTATTTCTATCGTCGCTAGTATAATAATTACCGATATCTATTGATATTGTTCATATCAACTTGGATTTTTTTTTTTATTATATTACACACTTTAGTTTACGAGGTACATCAAGCATCATGGATGAAGTTATGCTAAGTGAAAGAAATAAAACTATATTTGTAATCGACGGATACAAATTTCGTTTTCACAAGAATTTAGCCAATAATCACCAACGCTGGACTAATTAATTATTCATACTGTATTATACCCCTACATTATTATATATTTAAAAAAAAAAAACATTTTTAACCATACCTGTAGAATTATTTGCTACAGATAGAAAATGGGAAGGAAAATGTTTTTTTTTTAGTTTGACGGGACTCTGTATTAAAACATGGACTCAATTAGTATTATACCTAAAATTTCACTGGACTCAATTGGTTTATACCCTAAAACAACCCGGGACTCAATTCATCAAAAAAGGTTATACTGGGACTCAGCTAGTTCGTATGCAGCCGTTTTTTTTTACATTATTAGTGGTCCGCACAACCAAAAATGTTAGAAATCGCTGCAATAAGATATCATATTTTAAACAACCGTGATTTTATCGAAAGTTAAATATGTGTACCTATCATGTATTATGTATATATAATATTTAATCTATTGCAGATAATCTTGCGATTGCTCATAGAATATTCTTAAATCTAGTATTTCTAAAGAATTCATTTTAATAAGGGTAACTAAATTCCTCTCAGTATTTAATATTGATAAATACCTAATAAGCTGAACTATAATGTTATAAGTGGCCATGGCACTTTTTTTGTATTAAATAAATATATAAAATKTTATACTAATTTATTTATTACTATATACTTATTTCTATATACTCACATTGTAAGAACTAAGAGCTACTGTTTTAGGATTGGGATTGCTGAAGAAGAAGAACCATCAGGTATCTCCTAGTTGCGTTAATGGCACTAGACTACAAGAGTATAAKACGTATTATACGTCACATATCATGTTTATTTTTTTCATTACGATTACGTAAATTATACGATCCGATCACACGGTAACAACATAATATGCTAGTCATGACTAGCAACTCGTTCAATTGTAAATTACATTTTGCGGTGCAACGAACCCATGTGGAGATAACGATTTTAATGATGGCGCGACAGTTGTTTCTACTCTCTTGTTCCCGTTGTAGCTTTGTCAGTTTGTCCTATTGTATGCTCTTATTTCACATGTGGCGATCTCTCTTCTTGCTCTTTAACTTTAACTTTTGCTCTTTTACTACCTATTCTCTCACCGCTCTATCAAGTATTGTCATTTATCATCGGTCATCTACCTAAACGGATTTGTTTCTTCTTTCAGTGTTATTATTTATTTTTAATGATTTTTATAAATAAAAACTGTTCAGTGCTCAAGATCAACACTTTAATAAAAAATTAATAAACAGATTAGATATTGCAATTGACATACAAATAATAATTTATTAATTATTATGTAATAAGCCACAATGAAGCTAGATTTATGATTTAGTTTGAGTCTTATGCACTATTTTAATGCTTTAGAATGCATATCAGTAAAATAATGAAGTCACTTCCTACAGAAAGCTTAAAGATATGGCGATCGACAAGGAAGCATGAGAAAGGCACTTAGTGTAAATAATTTTGTTATAAGCCGATATTTGAATTAAATATTATAATTTATAATGCAGTGTGCATTATAACAATTAACAATAATAAACTAAAGTTTAACAGACTAATAAATAACAGTCAACTGTCACACGAAGAAATCGAACATTCATGAATTATTCACAAATTACAATGAAACACAACAACAACAATGTTGTTGCACTGTGTCTTCGTTGTGACAGTTGTTGGTGAACAAATTAACCGCCCATAGCATCGCAGTGTTTAATAATTAATCAGTTATCAGTTAATCTCATCACTAATTTAAAATATAATCATTAATTTAATATGCTACATTTGAACCACTGATGTACAGTACTATAAATATTAGATACTATAGTATAAGACAGGTATAATAGTATCAATATCCGTGATTTGAACATGGAGCGAGTTATAAATACTTATATCCTGAGTTTTTAAATTTATTATTTAAAAAAATACCCGCTAACATTATTAATTTCAACACCATTTATTATTATCACTAACTAGTAACTATATCGTATAACTATAGTTAGACATTTTGGAAATGTCAAAAACCCACTTACCTTCTAACTAATTTGAAAAAGAAAAACAATTTACTAGACCAGCGGGTCTAAACAATTTAAATAAACAAGCCATAACATTTTCTAAGACTAGAAAACAAGTCCCTTTTGATGTCTTTATTTTTTTGGTTATCAGGCCCGCATACTATTATTGTTGACTATAACTTTTAGTTGATCTTAAGTAGTAACAATGGTTGCTAATGATTATTCGCTCTATTATTATATGTTTTTCTACTACCTATGTGCTTTTTATAATAGTATTAAGTTTGTGTTTCGTACTCTTACTTTGTCTGTATTTCGGTATTTGAATCCTGATCCCTGAAAACCAAAAACAAAAATTTTCTTTAAAAAAAATATTTTAAATAGTATCTTAAACTTAGAATATAAATATTGATACATTTTGGTATTTAMTATTTAATAATAATCAAAAGAAACGATACAAACATTAAAAAATAAAAATAAAATTTATAGTCTTTAATTACATACATGATCGATTAGTTCTACGTTATATTTGTCATGTCATAGGTTACAATACCGATGTATATTATGCAAATAAATAACATTATAGTTATTGAGTTATATCTACTATAAGACATAAACTACGCGCCACTAAATACTGTAATTGTAATATAATATTAAGCTCTGCAGTTGTTATTGTATAGATGCATATAGGAACTAGGAAACATAGAAGGTATCGATTTATGGTCAGTAGAGCCAACCTTTTTTCAGTAAAAAAAAATTAAAATGTTCTATTACAACATATAATTGATTTCAATAAAATAAATTATTCTAAAGGAAAAACTTAAACATAAAAAAATGATATTTTAAACTAAAACTTAATTACTAATAAATACTATTGAACTTTATTATGAACATTTTTGTATATAATTGTATTTGATTCCACAATAATTCCTGTCTATTGTTTATTGTTAATTCTTTCTCAGAATTACTTCACTCAACTTAAATATTAAAATATTATACTCATTGATATAAAATCGTTTAATTTTTGAATAATCTTAGAGTAAAATTCTCCAATACAAAATTTATCTTTAGGATAATAGATAATTGTTTTTAAAAATTTGATAAATTGGAATTACCTATATTTAATTAATAATTATTATTTTATTTTTTATTTAATTTAAAAAAAAATACAATATAAATGGATGTTAACTTCGTTTAAGACAGCATTTAGACAAATCGTTATCGATATGTTATATCCTCAATAATATTATTCTCTCTAATTTTTGTATTGAATGATTTTATTCTAAGATTACTCAAAAATAAATAAAATGTTTTTACGTGAATAAACCTA